TGTAATTTTTTTTCTATCCTTTTAAATCATCAGAAATCATCAATTTTTTGGGGAATGATTTATAAACGACAGATTTTTTTGGCAAATTAATGAAAAGAATAGTAGAATTTATTTTATAAGGGAAATGAATAGTAAAAACCAAATTTTTAAATTGTATCCTCAAATCATCAAAAATCATCAATTTCTTTAAAATATTGAAATCGTTAATTTTTCTTACAAAAACTATATGTAATTTTAAAAGAAAAATGAACGATTTGTTTATTTGTTTTGAGTAGTTTGAAGAAATTGATGATTTTTGATGATTTGAGGATACGATTCAAAAAACTTATTTTTTAGTATTATTTTCCCTTACAAGACAAATTATATTCTTTTCTTTACATTAAAATTGAGGATATCAGTGTTTTGTAGAAATTGATGATTTGAGGATACATCATCTCAAACACTTTGTTATCCTTAAATCATCAAAAATCATCAATTTCTTCAAAATATTGAAATCGTTAATTTTTCTTACAAAAACTATATGTAATTTTAAAAGAAAAATGAACGATTTGCTTATTTGTTTTGAGTAGTTTGAAGAAATTGATGATTTTTGATGATTTGAGGATACGATTCAAAAAACTTATTTTTTAGTATTATTTTCCCCTATAAGACAAATTATATTTTTTTCCTTACATTAAAATTGAGGATATAAGTGTTTTAAAGAAATTGATGATTTGAGGATACATCATCTAAAACTTCTTCTTAGCCTTAAATCATCAATTTTATTTGCAAAAAAAAATTAACAATACAATTTTCTCAGACAAAAAAATTAAAAATTTATCATAAAAGAAAAAAAACTTACTATTGAATAATTCCTTTTGTTTGGAATAAATAAAAAATTTATAACTTTAAATGAAATGTAGTGAAAATATTATTTTTTTTATTGAAACATGAAAAGAAATTGTGATTTATTCACATAAATGTCACAAATTGGAGGGAGTACATCATGTAAAGATTGTTGGTCATTTTTTTTTCTTTTTAGAATTTATGGAATATTTGACAAGTAAAAAAAAAAAAAAAAAAGAAAAGAAAACCCAACAAGATTTATTTCAGAAAAGAGGATGTTCCCCGTTTTATCAAAAGCCATGTTTTCGTCCCCGTCAAATTTATCTTACTGAAAGCCTAGAGCGGTGCTAAAATAATATTTACCCTTTTCTTTGATCCTCCTTATAAAAACAGTGATTGCATCACTATACAAAATCGATCCAACCAAGTTATCTCAGAAAATAAAAATATTTCTTAATTTTCACCCAACAAAATTTAATTTGTGTACTAAACATTACGTTCCTTTTCGCCTCAATATATAAATAGGGTACAAATTTTTTTTACATATATTTTTAAATATTTATGAAAAAAAAGTTTACATTCATGTAAATTATTAATATTTTTTAATTTCAATTTTTTGCCGAATTGATGATTTCTGATGATTTGATGATACAAGAATGGTACAAAAAAAGCAATTCCATATTTTTTCTTGAACACAAAATTTTTTTCAAAAAAACCTTTTTATCAATCTCTTTCATTACTGATTTAAATTTATTTTAAGAAATAATATTAATTTCAATTTTTTGAAAAATTGATGATTTTTGATGATTTGAGGTTATATTTATTAACTGTTTTCACGTTTAAAAACAAAATTATGCCATTTCCGTCTCTGAAAAATCGTGCAAATAATTTTTTTTGTTTTTTTTAAAATTGATGATTTCTGATGATTTGAGGTTACAAAGTAAAAGTAATATTTCCTAATTACTTTCATGTTTAAAAACAAAATTATGTCATTTCCTGCTCTGGAAAGCCATGCCAATAATTTTTTTCTGATTTTTTCAATAATCTATAAATAAATAAAAAAAATTGATGATTTCTGATGATTTGAGGTTACAAAGTAAAATTAATATTTCTTAACTATTTTCATGTTTAAAAAGATTATTATGACATTTCCGACATTGGGAAAACGTACAAATCTTTTTTTTCTAATTTTTCAAAAAATTGATGATTTCTGATGATTTGAGGTTACAAAGTAAAATTAATATTTCTTAACTATTTTCATGTTTAAAAAGATTATTATGACATTTCCGACATTGGGAAAACGTACAAATCTTTTTTTTCTAATTTTTCAAAAAATTGATGATTTCTGATGATTTGAGGTTACAAAGTAGAATTAAAATTTCTTAACTATTTTCATGTTTAAAAAGATTATTATGACATTTCCGTCTTTGGGAAAACGTACAAATCTTTTTTTTCTAATTTTTCAAAAAATTGATGATTTCTGATGATTTGAGGTTACAAAGTAGAATTAATATTTCTTAACTATTTTCATGTTTAAAAAGATTATTATGACATTTTCGTCTTTGGGAAAACGTACAAATCTTTTTTTTCTAATTTTTCAAAAAATTGATGATTTCTGATGATTTGAGGTTACAAAGTAAAATTAAAATTTCTTAACTATTTTCATGTTTAAAAAGATTATTATGACATTTCCGCCTTTGGCAAAACGTACAAATCTTTTTTTTCTAATTTTTCAAAAAATTGATGATTTCTGATGATTTGAGATACCTCAACTTTAATAACATAATATTTTTAAGAATATATATAAGAGCATATGTCTATGTGTGTGTGTATAGAAGAGTAAAATGTTTCTGGACGTAAAAAGATGTAGAAAAATTGCTCCGATAAGCGCGAATTCGTGTATAGTGGCAAACACAAGCGCATGTGGAAATGATTTGCAACGTAAAAAGATGTGAATGTGAGAAAGTGTCGAACCCCAGGGGACATCTTCTTTGAGTATGTGTAACACGACATTTTCACGACAGTAAACTTATCAGTATTTGTGGAGAATTTTTTTTTTCTTTCTTTCTTTTTCTATATAGAAAATAGTTACGGGGGTTGTTTTTTTTTCATCCCATGAACACTGTAAAAACAATTCTGTCTCTTAAACATTATATCGCGCGACTGATACTTTTTTTCGTGACCAACAATAAACTCAAAACTTTATTGTAGAGTCAGTCCGGAAACTCGACGAACTTTTCTTAACTTTACTATTTATTTTTCAAGTGTTCAACAAGGAAGAAAATTATTTTCTTCTTGAAAAAAATTGTATTTTTATACATAGATAAATTATTGAAATGAATTTCAATTTTTAAAAAATTTTTTTTTAATTTTCTGAATTTTATTGATGATTTCTGATGATTTGAGGATTATTGAAAATTATCAAATATATTTTTCTGTTAATTTTCTTCTTTGATAAAGAATTTGTAATTTTATTTATCTTCAATTTTTGTAACTTTTTATAAAAATTGATGATTTCTGATGATTTGAGAATTATTGAAAAATATCAAAAAATATTTTTTCTAACAAAAAATAATTTTCTTCTCTTAATAAAGAATTTGTAATTTTATTTATCATCAATTTTTGTAACTTTTTTTTAAAAATTGATGATTTCGGATGATTTGAGGATTATTGGAAATTATCAATAAAATCATTTTTTCTGTAAAGAAATAATTTTCTTCTTTGATAAACAATTTATAATTTTATTTGTCTTAAATTTTTGTACCTTTTTTTATAAAAATTGATGATTTCTGATGATTTGAGGATGCAGTTGTAAAACAATCTCTTTCTATTATTATTATCAATATTATTATTATTACAAATATTTGAATATATGATAATAATTACAATAATATTCAAAGTGAAATTGTAACAAAAATTGTAAAATTGTAACATTTCATCAAAAATTGATGATTTCTGATGATTTTCTTAAATTGAAAATTTTTTTTTCCGGAAAAATAAGAACTTTTTCCCCAAGCATTAAAGAATAATTTTTTTTATATTTTACTTTGTGAGAATATAAAAGAAAAAAAACAAGAAATAATTTTTTTTTTTTTTGAAATATTTGAAATAAAGAAAAACAAATGGGTAATAAAACACTTTAATTTTCCTATCATCCATGACATTTATCTTGCTTCTGATGGGAAATAAAAAAAAAGTGTGAGAAAAGGGTCATCTCCCCCACATATATATATATATATGGAACGAAAAGAATGATACAGCCAAGGACAAAGAGAAGATTATTAGGGATTTTCCTCTTGAATTGAGCAAGGTCATAGTTTAGGGCGATAGAATGATATTTTTCAGATATTTTTCGCTATAAATATATTTTTTTCGCCTGAAAACGTTCGGGATTTTTTTTTTTCGATAGAAGGATTTTTTTTCAATATTTTTTTAAAAATAATATAATTTATTTGTGAACTAAAGCGAAAAGCAAAAATTTTATGGATAAATTGAGTTATAAATAGATAAGGGAAGGATTTTAAGGTGAGAAATGTGAAAAAATTTTCAAAGAATTGAAATAAATTTCCTCAATTTCAAGAGTTATATCAAGATAAATGATTTAATAAATTGAAAAATTTTCAAAAGACTAAATTTCACGATAATATTAATTTATTTTTTTGTTCTCTCTCTCTTTCAAATAAATATTATTTGCGATCTACATTTTTGCGATTTAATAAAATTACTATTTACATAAATATTTTTTCATTTTAAAAATAAAACAAAAAAGAACATTAAAATTACATTCCATATACGAAATATTGGCACAATATGAAAATTAAGTAAATTTATAAAAGCTACTTTAAGTCATTTTACAATATTTTTCTCTTGTGAATAAAAAAAATTAAAACAAATACAAAAAAAAAATCAAAATATTAATACAACTCAAAAAATGGTTTTTAGATTATTTTTTCAAAATCATGTTTGAAAAAGTTTTCTATATTTTGTAGTAAAAAATATTTTCAAAAAAATAAAATAATACAGTAAATTAAAAAAAATGTCTACTAGAAAAATATAAAAAAAATAAAAAAGATTTATTAAAAAAAAGCATAAAAAGAAAAAATAAAATTTTTCTTTTAATTAAAAAAAAAAATAAAATGAAAATTCAAAGGTGCCAAATTAATTAAAATTTACAATTATTTTATTATTATTATTATTATTATTATTATTGTTATTATTAGTATTATTATTATTTTTGTTAATTATTGTTTTTATACGAAAAACGGAATTTTTAATGAAAAAAAAAAATTACAAAAATTTTTTTTAAGAAAGGCGTGTAAAATAGATTGCTTAATTATACAAAATAAGCTGCCAATTGTGCCATTTTATCTTTTGGTGGTCGTGGACGTCCTCGACTTTTTCCTTTTGAATGACCACGTCCTTTAACTGACACCGGCTTCGATGCAACTGCCCTATGTTTTTCTACCAGCGAAACAAATGGTCTTGTGCAAAATACGCAACCCGTCATTTCCGTTGCTTCATCGGGAAGTTTTGTTTTATCCTATAAAAGAAAATTTTTTTTTAATTCAAATAACTTCAACTATTCTTTATAATTGGGAAATATATTTTTTTTTTCAATTAAAATAGTTTTAGATTTTCTTTTTTGCTTTCATTACTTTTTTTTTTATTAAAAATAAATAAATTTTTAAAACAGTAAAAAAAATAAGAAATAAAAGGAAAAAAAGAAGTAAAAGAAATAAAAAAAAGAAATTTTTTTTGGTTTTTACCTGTTTATATTCTACAGTAACTAATTGAGCTCCACATTCACAGACATCAGTCTCGACGCTCACTTTGTGAGCATTTTCAAAAAGATGAATAATAACATCACAACGATTGCAAACTAATTTCCATTTCGGCGCTGCCGATGGATCGAGAACCAAAATTCCCGCGTCACACTCCAAACAACTTGATATTCCATTTTGATACATTCCATGGGGACAAGTTGGATGCGTACACATATTACAACCACTGCCTTTTTTCATTTCCCTAAAAAAAAAAAAATTTTCAAATTAATTCTAATTTAATTTTCATTTACAAAAATTAGTTTCTTATAAAAATTAATTTTTTTTTTAATAAAAAAAAACTGTTAATCAATATTAAATTAATAATTATAATTACATAAAAATAAAAAGCGTAATTATATTATTATAATTAATTATTAAATTAAATTTATTAACTAAAATTTTAGTAATTTTTATTTTTAATTTTAATTCTTAAAAGAAATTTTTTTTTGTTCCCCTCACCTGAATGGCGGATTATTATAGCAATATGGACAGAATGTATAACTTTTGCCACGCGAACCACTTGACCATGACAATAATTCAAAATCATCGAGTGGACATTTCAATTCCTTGTAAATGCGAATATTGCCATTTTGTGGTAAATTATATGTTTCATTACAATGAGCACAATGTAAACGCGATGGTTTTGTTTGTATATATTTCATATAACGACGACATTTACCACAACGTGAATGTGATTTACCCGATGCTGACAATGGTGAGAATGTAACTTCAAATAATTGATCCATTGCCTCAATATTTTGTACGAAATAACGAAATTTTAATTTAAAAATTTCCACAGTATGCTGTAAAACAGCGCTAAAATCAACACGACCAATTGCAATTAAATTTAATTGTTCCTCAACTGCCGATCTCATTGTTGGCAAAACAAGCTCTGGATCTATCTGATAAATTAAAAAAAAAAAATGTTTCATTTAATTATTTATTTATTAATTAATTAAATATATATATATATATATTACCTTCTGATAACCGTGAACCAAAACAATTCCCAATGATGTAGGCACCAATTTTCTACCAGTTGCAATTGTTACATAATTTCGAATACAAATATTATTTATGTGCACCGGTATCGATGCATCAGTTCCAATTCCATGTTTTTCCATCAATGAAATTAATTCCGATTCTGTGAGATAGTCCGGCGGCTGTGTAAAACACTCGAGAAGTTTTGTCTTAAAAATAAATATTCATCATTAAAATAACATTTGATTTTGTTTATTTAAAAAATTTTTTTTAAATATATTCCTTAATTTATTTTACAATAAAAAAAAAGAAAATTGAACAATAAATAAAAGAAAAAAATAGAAAAGATGAAAATAAGTTTTGAAAAATTATTACCTCTTGAATATTGACCTTATCCCCTTGAACAAGTTTAGGAAGAGATTCATTATTACTTAATGCCTGCCATGTAAGGAGACTAGTGTAACCAGGATCCAATAAAGAATGTCCAGTCACTGTGAAAGTTTCCATTCCTATTTTAAATTTAATCGTTGTACTGAGATATTTACAATCGCGCGCCAACTGTAAAGTTTAAAAGCAATTTATAAAATCTCTTAATTTTCTTTTTCTTCTTCTTCTTTTTCTTCTTTTTCAACTACCATTAATTTAAAATTTATAATATATATAATTTATTTTACAAACCGTCGCTATGAAATGTCTCGTTATATAATCGTACAATTTCCAAGAATCGCCATCTAATTCATTTCGCGTTGCGTGTTTCATTGGCGTTATTGGCGGATGATCAAGTGCATTGTGTCCTTTTCTTGGCCTATTGATACCTTCGGTTAAAATTTTTCTTACCTCATCACCCCATTCGGAACTATTTTGCTGTTGTCTTAATGTTGCTCTGGAAATATTTTTTTTAGTTTAGAAAAAAAAGAAGTTTTCTTTTTTCCCCTTGAAATGAAATATCAATTTAAAATAATAAACTTTTTTTTTTAAGTAAATAAAAAAATAAAATGTTCTGAAAATGGAAAAAATTATTCTTTTTTTTGAGAGAGAGAGAATTATTAATAAACTTACAATAAATCGAAATTTTCCGAATACGATGTTGTTTCTGTTCGAGGGTAACTAATGTAACCTTGAGTATAAAGTCGTTCGGCAATTTGCATTGCATGATGCGGTCCCATTCCAAGACCGGAACTTGCGACTCTCATTAACTCAACGGTGTTTAAAGCAATGGGCCTTGATTTTGCTTTTTCGACACTCTGAATACTTGCCACACTAGAAATTAAATTTTTTTTTTTTTCTATAAAAACAAAATATGTAACAAATACAAAAAAAAAATACTAATCATAAAAATAATAATACTAATAACAATAACAATAACAATAACAATAACAATAACAATATCAATAACAATAATAATAATAATTATTATTATTGGCCTTGGATCGACTTTAAGGCGCAAAAAAAGTCCATTTTTTAATTTAATTAATTAATAAATATTTTATTTTAATTATCTAATATTATTGTATATTATTTAATTAATTTTTTTCTATCCTTAATAAGAATAATTTTACAAGAATATTATCAAGAAAATTTATTTCCAATATTTCAAAATTGAAGAAAGTTAAATTTTCAAAATTTTAGGACAAATTTCTAAAAAAAAAATAATAATAAACAAAGATCAGTAGAAAATATATTGTTAATGAAAATAAGGGAGAAAATTCTTAAAGAAAAAAAAAACGATAAAACTGAAAAGCAATTAAGAAAAAAAAAAATTAGAAACAAAATTATTTTATAAAAATAGAAATATTACTTGGCAATTTCGTGTTCCTTTACATGACTAAGAAAAATGGAAGCAACTTCTTTATCGAAAGATCTCACTCGACTCCAATTTAAAATTAAATCTTGACCCTCTAAAGTTTTCACTGTGACCTGAAATTTATTTTTTTTTTTATATATTTATTTAAAGTACAAAAAAGTAATTTTTAATTCTTATATACTTAATATAAAAAAAAAACCTTTAATTTCATTTTCTTTTCTTACCTGAAGAACCCAATATGCATCGGGTTTGAAAGTTTGAATTTCATCGTGTCTTTGAACACAAAATCCTAATGTTGGCGTTTGACATGGTCCATATGATATTAAAGATGCGTCTAAATCACCGTATTTTCCCTTAAACATTTTTTAATTGGATTTTTAATTGGATTTTTTATGATTAGAATAATTTTTTTTTTTTAATTATTATTAGGATAATTTTTTTTTTAATTATTATGTCTAGGATTAAAATTAATGTAATGTATATTATATTATAATTTCTTTTGGTACTTGATTTTTTTTTTATGCGGTGCTAAAATGAAGAAAATTAATTTCTTGATTAAAGAATAGCAAAAAGAAAAAGAAAAAAAAACTAACTTGAAAAAATTTTGTCTGAAATCTTGTGAAAGCACAGCCTATTCGTAAATCTAATTCCTGACGAGCGTCAACGCTTTTTGCTTCATTTTCATTCGGTTTCTCGAGATTGGCGAGAGCTGCTTTTATATCCTTTTCGGTAATAGCTGAAAATCGAGCTCGCCAAATATCCTGAAAAATATGTTTTTATATTTTACGAACAATAATAATTAAATTTATTTAACTAAAATTAATTTGAATAAAATTATTAAATTAATTTAACTAATTTTCTTAAAATTTTAACTTCAATAAAAATTTTTTAATATTTATTAAATGTAATTTTAATAAATCTAATTAATTTAATTTTCAATTAAAATTTTCGCAGTTAAATTTTATTTACTAAATTAATTGAATAGAAAAAAATTGTTATGTTTAATGTAATTTGAAATATATTAAAAAAATTTCTTAAATTATATATATTTTTTTTAATTACATTTGGATGTAATCGACGTGACATTCCCTGTTGAACAGCGTTAATTACTTCAAAACAAATATTTTCCCCTTCTTTATCGCAATCTAACCAAAGAACCAAATAATCGCAATGGGATCCCTCTTTTGCCAAGAAATATGGTATTTTCAATTTTGGAACTGCTTCCTTTTTCTCAGTAGGACAAGAAAATAATTCCGCCTGTAATTTCAATTTTAAAAATATTATATTTAATTATTCTTTTGTTTCCACTTCTTTTTTTAATTTTTTTTTCACCTTTTTTTTCCATTTTCTATATTAAATTAAGTAATTTTTTTTCTCAATTTACTAATTTATTTTCTACAATAATTTTAAATTATAAATTTATTTTTACTAGCATAATTTTTTTTTCTAATTTTTTTCAACTTTCTCTTTTTTATTTTATAAATATCGTAATTTTTTTTTTTTTTTAATATAATTTTTCTTTTTCTCTAAATGACTTTGTAATTTTTACTTTTATTTTATTAATTTTATTTTATTTTGTAAATTTTTACCTTAATGTATACTATTTTTTTTATTTTGTGAAATTTTGTTTAAAAAATAGTTTTTTTTTCGTAAAATTTACTTTTATTTTTTTTTTTACGTTAAATATTGTGTTTCATTAAAAAAAAAAAAATAAATAAAATTGAAAACACCTACCGGATCAACTTTATCCCAATTATTGTATTTTCCAATAAAATCGAGACTCATGACATGACCACAAACTGATGTCATTTTAAAATTCACTGTCTCATTGTGAAATTGTCCAATCCATTCGTGAACCGAACAAGAACCATTTAAACCTACGGGAAAAAAATTAGAAAATAGAAAAATTAAATAAAAAAAAAAATAATAACATTAACATAAATATTATACAAATTTAAATTTATTTTTTACTATTAATAAAAAGTGTCCAAAAATTTAATTTTATAACAAAAAAACTTTTGTTTTGTTATTTAAAATTTTTTTTCGTATTAACTATTGACTATTGATTAACAATAAACTATTTTATTATTTACCTTTTTGAAAAAAAAACAAAAGAGCAATAAAAAATAATTTTTGTTAAAGAAGTGAAAAATAACTAATTTATTTATTAATAAGTGAATTATATAATAAAAAATCGTTTGAAAATGTTGACATATTAATAAATAATAAACTATTCAATAGAAAAAATATAAAATAAAAGAAAAATACAAAAGTTAAATTTCATAACCTACCTTTTCGAGAAGAACATCTTCCGTTGCTTAAAATATTGGCAAGCGACGCAGCTAAAGATGGCTTTTCAGCCACCATAAGTGCCGTTTTCATTTTTATTAAGTACACGTGATTAATTATTTATTCTTCGTTTTTTATTTTCTATACAAATTAATAAAAATCGTTATTTTCTTGACATTTCACTAATAAACAACGGGTGTGTAATTCATTAGTTCCCGGCTTGTGGTGGCGCTACGATCGAAATACAAAGTTGTTAGATTGTCAATGTGATTCCAAAATAACGTAGAACGTTTCTAATATCAACAAAACCTTTTTATTGTTAATTGCTTTGATAAATTTAAATTAAATAAATTATTTAATAATATTAATTAATATAATCTTCTTTACTAAATGCAGTACATATTATTAAGTTTACCTACTTTGGAATTTAAAACATTGGTAATGAAATTTTATCCTTTATTTATTTTTACAGGGTTGGCATTAATGTTCTGATCGGCAAATCATTATAATGGCCGTCGTCAGAAGGTAAGTCCATGTTTTATATATTTGGAAAACTTCAAATCTTTTAATATCGCGTAAATTTTCAACGGTAATTGTAAATATTTTACAGTGTAATTAAATTTTGTTTCATCTATAAATAACTTGTGTTTTATAAAAGTTTAATAATGATAAGAAATAATTCTATTTTATTTGATAAATGTCGGATGTCAAATCTTTCTTCGAATTGCATTTTTGTGACAATCTTGTTTGTTTTACAAAGTATAATCTTTAAAAAAAACCTACCAATTGAACCTAAATTGAAGTAGATTAAGAATAATCAATTTTATTCCATTTTTTTTAAATAGAATGTTTTCCTGGAAAATGAAAAAATTCAAATAAAATTAATCATCAAGTCTCTATTATTTTTTACCTTAAAACAACATTGGTAACCTTCAAAAAAATCTACCAATTGAGCCTAAATTGCAGTAGACTAAGAATAATCAATTTTATTCCATTTTTTTGAATAGAATGTTTTCCTGGAAAATGAAAAAATTCATAAAAAATTCAAATAAAATTAATCAGCATGTCCCTATTATTTTTTTACCTTAAAAAAACATTGGTAACCTTCAAAAAAACCTACCAATTGAACCTAAATTGGAGTAGACTAAGAATAATCAATTTTATTCCATTTTTTTTAATAGAATGTTTTCCTGGAAAATGAAAAAATTGATAAAAAATTCAAATAAAATTAATCAGCATGTCCCTATTATTTTTTTACCTTAAAAAAACATTGGTAACCTTCAAAAAAACCTTCCAATTGAACCTAAATTGCAGTAGACTAAGAATAATCAATTTTATTCCATTTTTTTGAATAGAATGTTTTCCTGTAAAATGAAAAAATTCAAATAAAATTAATCAGCATGTCCCTATTATTTTTTTACCTTAAAAAAACATTGGTAACCTTCAAAAAAACCTACCAATTGAACCTAAATTGCAGTAGACTAAGAATAATCAATTTTATTCCATTTTTTTTAATAGAATGTTTTCCTGGAAAATGAAAAAATTCATAAAAAATTCAAATAAAATTAATCAGCATGTCCCTATTATTTTTTTACCTTAAAAAAACATTGGTAACCTTCAAAAAAACCTACCAATTTAACCTAAATTGCAGTAGACTAAGAATAATCAATTTTATTCCATTTTTTTGAATAGAATGTTTTCCTGGAAAATGAAAAAATTCATAAAAAATTGAAATAAAATTAATCAGCAAGTCTCTATTATTTTTTTACCTTAAAACAACATTGGTAACCTTCAAAAAAACCTACCAATTGAACCTAAATTGCAGTAGACAAAGAATAATCAATTTTATTCCATTTTTTTGAATAGAATGTTTTCCTGTAAAATGAAAAAATTCAAATAAAATTAATCAGCATGTCCCTATTATTTTTTTACCTTAAAAAAACATTGGTAACCTTCAAAAAAACCTACCAATTGAACCTAAATTGCAGTAGACTAAGAATAATCAATTTTATTCCATTTTTTTGAATAGAATGTTTTCCTGGAAAATGAAAAAATTCATAAAAAATTGAAATAAAATTAATCAGCAAGTCTCTATTATTTTTTTACCTTAAAACAACATTGGTAACCTTCAAAAAAACCTACCAATTGAACCTAAATTGCAGTAGACAAAGAATAATCAATTTTATTCCATTTTTTTGAATAGAATGTTTTCCTGGAAAATGAAAAAATTCATAAAAAATTGAAATAAAATTAATCAGCAAGTCTCTATTATTTTTTTACCTTAAAACAACATTGGTAACCTTCAAAAAAACCTACCAATTGAACCTAAATTGCAGTAGACTAAGAATAATCAATTTTATTCCATTTTTTTGAATAGAATGTTTTCCTGGAAAATGAAAAAATTCAAATAAAATTAATCAGCATGTCCCTATTATTTTTTTACCTTAAAAAAACATTGGTAACCTTCAAAAAAACCTACCAATTGAACCTAAATTGCAGTAGACTAAGAATAATCAATTTTATTCCATTTTTTTGAATAGAATGTTTTCCTGGAAAATGAAAAAATTCATAAAAAATTGAAATAAAATTAATCAGCAAGTCTCTATTATTTTTTTACCTTAAAACAACATTGGTAACCTTCAAAAAAACCTACCAATTGAACCTAAATTGCAGTAGACTAAGAATAATCAATTTTATTCCATTTTTTTGAATAGAATGTTTTCCTGGAAAATGAAAAAATTCAAATAAAATTAATCAGCATGTCCCTATTATTTTTTTACCTTAAAAAAACATTGGTAACCTTCAAAAAAACCTACCAATTGAACCTAAATTGCAGTAGACTAAGAATAATCAATTTTATTCCATTTTTTTGAATAGAATGTTTTCCTGGAAAATGAAAAAATTCATAAAAAATTGAAATAAAATTAATCAGCAAGTCTCTATTATTTTTTTACCTTAAAACAACATTGGTAACCTTCAAAAAAACCTACCAATTGAACCTAAATTGCAGTAGACTAAGAATAATCAATTTTATTCCATTTTTTTGAGTAGAATGTTTTCCTGGAAAATGAAAAAATTCATAAAAAATTAAAATAAAATTAATGAGCACGTCACTGTTATTTTTTTACCTAAAAACAACATTGGCAACCTTCAAAAAAACCTACCAATTGAACCTGAATTGCAGTAGACAAAGAATAATCAATTTTATTCCATTTTTTTGAATAGAATGTTTTCCTGGAAAATGAAAAAATTCCTTACAAATTCAAATAAAATTAATCAGCATGTCTCTATTATTTTTTTACCTTAAAACAACATTGGTAACCTTCAAAAAAACCTACCAATTGAACCTTAATTGCAGTAGACTAAGAATAATCAATTTTATTCCATTTTTTTGAATAGAATGTTTTCCTGGAAAATGAAAAAATTCATAAAAAATTGAAATAAAATTAATCAGCAAGTCTCTATTATTTTTTTACCTTAAAACAACATTGGTAACCTTCAAAAAAACCTACCAATTGAACCTAAATTGCAGTAGACAAAGAATAATCAATTTTATTCCATTTTTTTGAATAGAATGTTTTCCTGGAAAATGAAAAAATTCATAAAAAATTGAAATAAAATTAATCAGCAAGTCTCTATTATTTTTTTACCTTAAAACAACATTGGTAACCTTCAAAAAAACCTACCAATTGAACCTAAATTGCAGTAGACTAAGAATAATCAATTTTATTCCATTTTTTTGAATAGAATGTTTTCCTGGAAAATGAAAAAATTCAAATAAAATTAAAATAAAATTAATGAGCACGTCACTGTTATTTTTTTACCTAAAAACAACATTGGCAACCTTCAAAAAAACCTACCAATTGAACCTGAATTGCAGTAGACAAAGAATAATCAATTTTATTCCATTTTTTTGAATAGAATGTTTTCCTGGAAAATGAAAAAATTCATAAAAAATTGAAATAAAATTAATCAGCAAGTCTCTATTATTTTTTTACCTTAAAACAACATTGGTAACCTTCAAAAAAACCTACCAATTGAACCTAAATTGCAGTAGACTAAGAATAATCAATTTTATTCCATTTTTTTGAATAGAATGTTTTCCTGGAAAATGAAAAAATTCATAAAAAATTCAAATAAAATTAATCAGCATGTCCCTATTATTTTTTTACCTTAATAAAACATTGGTAACCTTCAAAAAAACCTACCAATTGAACCTAAATTGCAGTAGACTAAAAATAATCAATTTTATTCCATTTTTTTTAATAGAATGTTTTCCTGGAAAATGAAAAAATTCATAAAAAATTCAAATAAAATTAATCAGCATGTCCCTATTATTTTTTTACCTTAAAAAAACATTGGTAACCTTCAAAAAAACCTTCCAATTGAACCTAAATTGCAGTAGACTAAGAATAATCAATTTTATTCCATTTTTTTGAATAGAATGTTTTCCTGTAAAATAAAAAAATTCAAATAAAATTAATCAGCATGTCCCTATTATTTTTTTACCTTAAAAAAACATTGGTAACCTTCAAAAAAACCTTCCAATTGAACCTAAATTGCAGTAGACTAAGAATAATCAATTTTATTCCATTTTTTTGAATAGAATGTTTTCCTGTAAAATGAAAAAATTCAAATAAAATTAATCAGCATGTCCCTATTATTTTTTTACCTTAAAGAAACATTGGTAACCTTCAAAAAAACCTACCAATTGAACCTAAATTGCAGTAGACTAAGAATAATCAATTTTATTCCAGTTTTTGAATAGAATGTGTTCCTGGAAAATGAAAAAATTCATAAAAAATTCAAATAAAATTAATCAGCATGTCCCTATTATTTTTTTACCTTAATAAAACATTGGTAACCTTCAAAAAAACCTACCAATTGAACCTAAATTGCTGTAGACTAAGAATAATCAATTTTATTCCATTTTTTTTAATAGAATGTTTTCCTGGAAAATGAAAAAATTCATAAAAAATTCAAATAAAATTAATCAGCATGTCCCTATTATTTTTTTACCTTAAAAAAACATTGGTAACCTTCAAAAAAACCTTCCAATTGAATCTAAATTGCAGTAGACTAAGAATAATCAATTTTATTCCATTTTTTTGAATAGAATGTTTTCCTGTAAAATGAAAAAATTCAAATAAAATTAATCAGCATGTCCCTATTATTTTTTTACCTTAAAGAAACATTGGTAACCTTCAAAAAAACCTACCAATTGAACCTAAATTGCAGTAGACTAAGAATAATCAATTTTATTCCAGTTTTTGAATAGAATGTTTTCCTGGAAAATGAAAAAATTCATAAAAAATTCAAATAAAATTAATCAGCATGTCCCTATTATTTTTTTACCTTAAAAAAACATTGGTAACCTTCAAAAAAACCTACCAATTGAACCTAAATTGCAGTAGACTAAGAATAATCAATTTTATTCCATTTTTTTGAATAGAATGTTTTCCTGGAAAATGAAAAAATTCATAAAAAATTGAAATAAAATTAATCAGCAAGTCTCTATTATTTTTTTACCTTAAAACAACATTGGTAACCTTCAAAAAAACCTACCAATTGAACCTAAATTGCAGTAGACTAAGAATAATCAATTTTATTCCATTTTTTTGAATAGAATGTTTTCCTGGAAAATGAAAAAATTCATAAAAAATTGAAATAAAATTAATCAGCAAGTCCCTATTATTTTTTTACCTTAAAAAAACATTGGTAACCTTCAAAAAAACCTTCCAATTGAACCTAAATTGCAGTAGACTAAGAATAATCAATTTTATTCCAGTTTTTGAATAGAATGTTTTCCTGGAAAATGAAAAAATTCATAAAAAATTCAAATAAAATTAATCAGCATGTCCCTATTATTTTTTTACCTTAATAAAACATTGGTAACCTTCAAAAAAACCTACCAATTGAACCTAAATTGCAGTAGACTAAGAATAATCAATTTTATTCCATTTTTTTTAATAGAATGTTTTCCTGGAAAATGAAAAAATTCATAAAAAATTCAAATAAAATTAGTCAACATGTCTCTATTATTTTTTTTCTCAATATTTTGTTTTACATAAATAATTAATTTCGTGAAAATTTAATATGAAAAAAAAAGCTTTATTTTCGGATTAACGTTAATATTAACGTTTAATATTTCGTAAAATACAAAAGAAAATTATAACAAGTCAAAATTAATCTAAAAAGCATATCAAATAATGTTTTTTTTTGTTTTATTTATGTTTTATTCTTATCTGTTTATTATTAATTTATTTATTATTGTCTAAATTATTAAAAGAAAATTACGAATAATATTTTATTATTTCAATTGTTAACTTTTATTTTTTATTGAAAAAAATATATTTCTGATACTAAAATTTTGAAAAATTACAAACGGGAGGTTATGATACAAACAATTTGAAAAACTGTTTAAAAACAAAAAATTATTTTAAAAATTTGTAATGTTATTAGATATAAAATTCATTTTATTAATTCTGTAATGGGAATAATTCTAAAAAAATATTATCAAGAAACTTTATTTCGAATATTTCAGAATCAAACTAATTCTATGACAAATTTTCAAAATTTTATTTAAGGTAGGACCTAAAAAGAGTTCTTAAAGTTCCATTTTTATAATTTTTTCAAGTCTGATTTAAGTAATTTATTCGAATTAAAATTTTTTTAGATATTATGGTTAAAAAAATTTTAGGCAACGCCTTAATCAAGTTTTACAGTTTTTTAAATCATAATTTTGGACGAATTAAAGTTGAAATTTTTAAAAATAATTGAATTTGTAAAGATTTTGTTAGTTTTCAGACAATAATTAAATTTTACAGATCTACAAATAATTTATCAAATAATTTTAGTTAACATTTTTTAAAAGTAATTGAATTTTCAAAGATTTAGAATTTAGATTTTTGAAATTAATTCAACTTCAAGTGATTTTTAATTTAAAATTTTTTATGATTTCACTAAAAAATTTATTAGAAATTGCAGAAAAAAATACAATAATTTGAAAATTTTTTTAAGAGAAAAATGGTTTCAGATAGTTGAATTTTTGAAGAATATTATTAATGCTAATTATTTTAAAATTATAAACAATTATTAAATTTCGTTTAAAACAGTTTAATATAATATTGAATTTGTGAAGAATTTCATTAAAATTATTAAAAATAATTAATTTAGTGAAGAATTTTAGTTAAAAATTTGTTAAATAATTGAAATAAAGAAGATCTGCATTGTATACTAAAAAAAATGTGTTTTGATTAAATTTTTTTTTTAAAAGTTGTACAAAATAGTCGAAAAAATCGTATTTTTGAAAAAAACTGTCGTATAATCCGAGGCCTGAAATATGGGAAATTATTTGACCGTGGATTTTTAAACTAGAATAAATAAACAAACTTTCTTCCTCGTTTGCCATGATATTGATATTGCAAAATTTTCTGACGCAATGAAGCAAAAAAAGAAAAACTACACATACGTTTTATCAAGTGAATAAATTTTAATCAGAAAAATTGGAAAAATGAAAAAAGCCTTGAACGAATTCATTGAGTCGGAAACAGATCCGTATTCCCTCGAAAAATACTTAATAAAAAAAAAAAAAAAAACGATATATAAAACTCGTCGTAGAATTTGCTCCTTAAAGTCATATGTAGCAACTCTCCCAGAACGAGAATCCGTAGGAGTGAATGTAACGATTAAACTATAAATGATTGAATCAGTAAAACATGCATATTATATATTTAGAAAAATATTCTTGTAGGTCGATTGATTCGCATTCCTGAGACTTAATTAAAATCCATTGCTTTCTTGTATTTTTAATTATTTAATTTCATAACTTCGTAAATAATATGTATCACATATGTACATATACGTAAAGATACATCATACAAAATATAATATTGTACTCTACGTTATCTTAAAAAGATTCATGGTAACATTTTTATTTAAAAAAAAAAGTTCTTTTTTCCTTTTTTTTTTAATTTTTTCGAGTAGAAAAACAATAAAATTAAATTTAAAAAAAAAAATGAAGCTATAAATCTATAATAATAATTGTTTAACTGGCAAGTTATTTAAAACTGTTTCTTTCCTTGTAAACTTGATTTAAAGGCACGTACGGTGTATATTGATCGGCAAGATATAAATCATCAACTTGCAAATCACATCTTAAAATTACAACTCCTGACGGATTAACTTTGACTTTAATTTTTGTCAATGGCGTGAGAATTCCGTAATCAACGTCTTCGTACAAGTCCTGAAACAAAAAACAAATAAAATTTTAAAATTTAATTTTTATATTTTTTAAATGATAACTTAATTAAATTCAAAAGTTTTATAATTAATAATACCTCGACTCTATAGCCACCGGGATATTGCAAACCGAGTTCTTTCAAAGTCACAGAAACATCAGACGGAGTTCCGTCTGTTCTTCTATTTAAAAATGCAATGGCATATGAATAATATGATTGATCGACTGGTGTAATTGGTCTTGCCCATATTTCAATGCCTTTGTGCTGGAAAGAAATTACATAAAATTATAATTTTTAGTTTATTATATTTAAAAATTAATTTACTATAGCTATTATAAAGCAGATCACCCAAAAAACTTTTCTTAAGAAGCGCACAAACCTTATAAATTCGTCGACCCTGAATTCCAAGTGGATCTTGATCTACAGCAATAATTTTTTTATTTTGCAAAATTGATTTATATTCAGGCCTTATTGTTCGTAAATCAACGGACATTAAAAGTGGCGCTGCAAGTATTGCCCATAGTGCCATTTGTGTTTTACTTTGCTCATAACTTAAACCAAAATTTCCAATAATTAACATATCAGGATCGTTCCAATGACCGGGTCCAGCATTTGGCACAATAGCATCTTGATTATTACCATAGTAATCAATAATTGTTTCAAGACTATTCCATGAATCTTGAATATCATCAAAATTCCTCCACAAATTGCAGTGACGAATTATCGCTTTATAATCTGGCTATAATAGGAAAAAGGAAATTACAAAAAAAAAGAACGTCAATATCTATTTTTTTTTTTTCATTGTTTAATGACATGAGAAAATGTGATTTAATCACTTTTTTTTCTTCATTAGCTATTTCTATTTTGTTTGTTCTTTTTTTTTTTTTAAATCAAAGTCTATTATTAGGAAGACAGTAATATTTAATAATACACCTTCTGTTGTCACAAATATATTCTCAACTTTCTAACTTTCCTTCAAACTGACACAATTTCGGCGGGAGTTGAATAACCTTGTGGCGAATTTGTTTTTTTTGCAAAAGAATTAAAAATTCAAATTTTTTTTCTAAAATTAATTATTCGTTTCCATAAACAATTTTTTTTGTATATTTAAAAAACTGTTTCGCTATTCAATATTTTATTATTTTATTTAAACATACGGATCAATTGCATTTTTTAATGGAGTTTCTTTTTTTTTATGGTAAATTTTTATATTGAAATCTATTTACCTGCATGCCAGCGTAAATTTGATAAACAGGCCAACTGCAGGAATAAATCATTGGCCTTCCAGTTCGATTTAAATGGAATCCAAATTCCGGGTATCCTGCGAAAAATATTTAACATTTCAATCACTTTTTTTCTTCCTTTTACCTATTATTTATGAACTATTAATTATATCTATAAAATTACCTTTTATATAGAATCATGAATTTTATACTTTCACATTAGCTGACAATTTGAATTAATGGAAATTATTTTAAATAACTAATAAATTTCCAATTTAAAATTTTTTTTATAATGTAATTAAATTTATTTTTTTTTTAATCTTATTTCCTCTACTTTCTTCGTTGTCCATTTTTATGATAAAAAATTGTTTTTAATAAATAATTAAATAACAAAAGAATAATTTAAAATACAAAAAAAAAACAATTGATGTAAGGAAAAAAAATTGTCTTTTGAAAAAAATTCGGACCTTAAAAGGTTTAAATAATTTCAAAAATTTTTTTTAACGATTTTAAGAAAAATGAAAATTTTTGATTTACCTCTATCCATTTCACTAGGATGAGCATAACATCCATCTAATTTAACGTAATCAACATCCCAGGATGCGAATGTTGCAGCGTCAGTCTCCAAGTAACCGAGAACTCCCGGATATCCTGCACACGTATAGTTTCCATAATCCTCATAAATTCCAAATTTCAATCCTTTCGAATGCACCTGATAATGACAAATGTAATTTTTATTCTTTGAATTTAAATTTATTACATTATTTTATTTATTCAATTTAGAAATTATCAATTTTAATATTAAATTAACATATTAAATTATAAATTAATTTAATTTTATAGATAAAGTTTTGAAAAAAGAAAATTTCCCCAATTAACGAAATGATGATAAAATAATAAAAGAAAGAATATTGAGAAATATGTTGAAATTGACAATAATAATAAAAAGAAACAAAATAGAGAAAAAAAAATAAGAATCTTTAAAGTTATTTTACTTTTTTTTCAAAGAATCTTTCGTAACGATTCCTATTATATATTAAATTATAATAAAACGCTAATGAATTGGAAAAAATAACAGAGACATTTTTATTTCTCAACTTTTGTATGGAGCAATGTAATATATATTTTGTTTAAAAAAAAAAAATTCTTACATAATTTGCCAGACTCTTCATTCCATATGGAAATCTTTGTCTGTCTGGCACTAATTGACCAGTTGAATCCCTATCCTTTTCCAACCAACAATCATCTACATTAATATATTCGTATCCAGCATCCGCGTATCCCTCCGATACGACAATATCTGCCATTGTTCTAAAAAGTCGATCACTGCAAAATAAAAATAAGGAACGAAAAAATTAGTTCCTTTCTTCTTTGCTTTAGATTCAAAATTATAAACCATTTTTTTTCCTTTTTTTTAACATTGAATTTTAATTAATTTATGCTAAATTGATAATAATTATAATTTTATAATTAAATTTAACTCCCAACTTCCGGTGCCGTTAACTCCCTTTTTTTACAGTGTACTACTTTATATTTAAAAAAAGGTTTGTTTTATATTAATGATGAATAACAAAATTAAAGAAGGTTGTTTACAAAAATGAACCGAAGGGAGTTAATCCTGTACGAGTTAATTTTATGCCTAAGGAGTTAATTTAATTATTAACTACCTTTTTGAGTTAATTATTAACTCGAAAGATTTAACTCCCGGTGTCGTTAACTCTCTATTTTTTAGACTGCCGGAAAGCCTAAATTTAGGCTTTTTTGATCGATTTTGTTAAACGCCGGCAGGCTAAAAATTATGAAAAAGGTTTGTTTTATATTAATGATGAATAACAAAATTGAAAAAGGTTGTTTACAAAAATATATTTTACTTTTCTCATTAGTAGTTATTTATTTATTTTTTGCTGAAATAGAAAACGTATTTTTTTTCTTGAGATCAGAAACTAAGAAACAAAAGAGATTATTCTATAGTGAAAAGAGGGAAAAAATAGAGGGAGACGTCCATTTTAATATTCGTGTCATATTTACATCTTGCAAATGATAAGTTGAAATCTATTTTTATGTAACATGCATAATAAATCTTAAAAAAGTGTTTATAATTCCTTCTTCACACACTTCAAGGACTTGTGTGTCCTTGATACACGCAAAGAAAGCAGTACAAGTGCGAATTTTTATTTTTCAAAAAGCGACCTAGATTCTGCGACAGCTGGACACTTTCTAAATTTGTTGATATATATCTATATATATTTTTTTAAATTCTAGATTTTACTCTCAATTGCCGTCGATAGTTTAATTAAATATCAATATTAAATTAATATTTCAATTTATAATTTTAGTTATTTATTATTTAATTATATTAATCCATTGTTTAATTAATTATTAATTGAAATAAAATAAAAATAAGACAACAAATCTTTTAATTTGCACAAATCAGTAAAAGTTGGAAAATTATATAAAATATAATTTGATATGACAAAAGAGGGAAAGATTGTATGTAAATTTTTAATAATCTAAATGGAAAATAGAATCGAAAGATGTAATTAAAAAATTAATATTTCATTCTAAAACAAGGAACTAATTTTTTTTTGCACACATCATCATCATCATCATTGTGTGTATAAATGGTTATGGATAAAATTATGATTTGCAACCGGGAAGAGAGCATTCAATATCTAGATATAAAATTGCATCCTCATGTAATAATTTTATGTATTTTTTTTTTGCAAGGTCTCATATCACACTCCCATGTGATATTCACACTCCATTGTTTTCAAACTACAATATTAATATGTCTTCATCATATTATTAATTATGTAATTTATTATCATTTTCACAATCATTTAAAAGAATTGTTGCAAAGTAAATAAAAAAAAGGAATTAAATTAACACAGATGTTTAAATGAGACATGAAATTAAGATCATAAAATTATTACATATTTAAATTTAATTATTTTAAATTAAATTAATTAAAATTTTATTAAATTTAAAGTAAATAGTAAATATATTTGATCATTAAATTTTAAAATTATATAAATAACCTTTTTTTAAAAAAAAATTAATTTTACATTGATTAATTTTTAATGAACTTCATTTAGTTTTTTAAGTTCATTTATAATGAAAAGTTTCCTTTCAATGAATGAAATTAGCTAAATGTCAATGTGTCGAATGAGTGAAAGTATTACCGCGTATTTAATTAGTGTGAACTTTTATTTTTTTACGATTTAAGAACAAAAACAAGTTATTATAATTTTTCATTGTAACAAAACATTGATCGAACTGATTGATATTATTTAAAACAATTTTTTTTAAACTAATTTACTTTTTTTTCTCAAAGAGGTATAATTAACTGCTTTTTTCATTAAATTTTTTTTAAAATTTTGTTCCGTATTCAAATTATAATAATTAATGAATCAAAATTTTATTCAATTATTGTAGACGTGTATTATTAAATTAATTTTTTTTGGACCAGAAAATTTTTCAATGATAAATTATTTAACGCAACGCGGAATAATAATATCGTGGGAAGTAATTCAAAACAAGAAAGAAACAAAAGGAGCAATTGAGATTATAAAATAGATTTTAAAAAAATGTGTAAATAAGAAACTTTAAATTAAACAAAAAAATTGCTTTTGAACTTTTTTTTTAATTCTCGAATATATATTTATCAAAAGTATATATCAAATTTTGAAAGTGTTAATGAATTGTATAATGAAATTAAAAAAAAACAGGAAAAAGTAAAAGTTAAAAATATTTAGTAATATTTAGTAATATTTAAAAATATAAACCGCGATGTAAAAAAAAATAAATAAAAGAAGAAAGCAAATTAAATATGAAGATGTAAATAAAATACAAAAGAATTGGCATACGAAATAATATTTAAAAGTGCTTTACTTTCACTATCTATAAAAGCGGAATTATTTTGACAGAAATTGCTCACTTTAATTTTACTGTTTCCTAAATAACCAGTTTGCACTTAAATTCTCCGTTTATTTTATTTTTTTTTCTAACAGAATGATCCAAATTATCTACTTTGATAGGTGTATTTATAATATTTATATTACTATTTACTCGTTAGTTATTTTTAAAGTCAATAATTTATTTTTAAATTCAATAATTTTTTTTTATATTCAATAATTTCAAATTTATGCGAAACATTTTTCATTTTTTTGACCAACATTCTTTGTTGCTAAATTATAATATATTTTTAAATTAAATTAACTGATTTATTAATTTTTGTAATTTTAATGAAGATGATAATGATGAAAACATTAGTTGAGTTATTTAAAAGAAAATGAAAATTAACTGAGTAGAATAATTATAATATACATTGAATGTTATAAGTATAATAATAAAATAATGTATATGATAAATAAATTTTTTTTAAAAAATAAAATCAGAATTTTATAATTAAATTACATCAAAATGATTGACTATAAAAATATTTCAATAACTTTTTCATTTAATGATCTTCTGTAAATTTTATTTACAAATTTTTATTTTATTATTTAATAATTAATTTCTCGCTGAAGTAGGTAAACTAAGTAATTTTTTCCGCTTGGAATAAAAGTTTTTTTGAATTGCAATTATGTTAACGTTTTTTTTTTGAATGTCCTCATACTATTGGTCCCTTTTCAAAATTTTAAATTGTACATTTTGAGGTTATGTCAAAATTGAGATAAAGTGCGCCATTATTTACTATACTAAACAAAAAAACCAAATGAATTTTTTTTTTATTTGCAACTAAAGTATAACTATAGATAAAACAAAAAATAAAATATTTATTAATTTCAAAATATATTAATTCATTGCGCAGGTACTATCGAAAATTTTCTTAGCGCGAAAAAATTCACAAAAGCAAAACGAAAAAAAAAAACAAAAGAAAAACAAGATCAAGAGATTAGAAATGTAAACATGAAAAAGGGAACTTGCACTTAAACGGTTCGCTTTCATTTTCTTTGAACTCTCTGAAAAGTAAAAGTACTGGAAATCGAAATGGAAAGTACATATTATAATATTATAAGGCCAAATAAGATTGAAATTCAAGTAAAATAAAGATGTAAATAAATCAAAGAGGTATAGATTATAATATGAGTGTTGCATATACCTGATACAATTGTCAGGATCATTTTTACAATCGGTATTGCAGCGAAACCTTTCCCAAGCGAGCCACCCCATTGGTGGTGTTCGTGCCAATCCATTATCCAGGGCATTCACAAAACTTATTATTGCCAACAACGTCCAACTGGCCACTAACAGTAGACACCACGTCCTTGTCAACTGCATTTTATTTTTCTGTAAAATACACACACACACACTCACCCACACACACTGTTTCTTTTTTTCAAAAATTTTAAAATCAAATCACAAAAGTGTGAAAAAAAATTTCCTTATATCTATGACAACATAGTTATTGATAATAATAATAATAATAATAATAATAAATATTGAAGAGAAGAAAAATAGGATTTTTTTTTTTAATAATAAAAACACGTGGTTCTATTGAGAAGGTAAAGGATGAGAGTCAATTATATTTATACCGAATGGCTCACATCAGGAGCTCAACAAAATAACAAACCACATCCTTAACTGCTCCTGGCAGACTGATCTGATATAAGACCTCCGAGTTCCAAGAGTACTTTCACCCAATGCCCCATTTCATTTTTACACACAGCCATAAGAGAACTCCCTATTGTGTGTGATCGGTTTCCTTTCATATATACATACACACACAAGACGTTTACACACACAGCATAGATAGATATATAAACTACTCTGAGTTGTATCCATTTATAGTATAGAGCAAAACGAACGTGATTGCAAGTGGGTGGGTATTATATGTATCAAATACAAGCGATACGAGAACGATTTGAATTCTAAACGTAAATTGTTTAGCACGTTTCTTTGTTCCCACAATATAAACCCAGGAGTTGACTCGCCGGAGCGGTTGGCGCATTTATAGGTTATGTCCCCATGTCATTATACATATACATGTATATATATATATATTCATTCATTATATATATGTATATATATATGTATATATATAAATATATATATAAATTGTATTGTCAGCGCGAGAATTTTTTTTCAATATACTGTCATAAATACGGGATGTTGACAAGAAAAATTAATGCAGTACAATGAAACAATATTGTATCGAATATAAATATATATATATATATATATATAGCTGTATATTGACATTGACAAACTCGTGAAAATAAAATTGAATTGTTTTGTTTTTTTAACGAATCTTTTGAACCCGAAACAAGATAAAAATTGAGATTATTACTTTTTTTTAAATATGGTATCGTTCACAAACTACGTTACACTTCAAGAGGGGACGGGGGGGGGGGTCAAACAATTTGTGACGACCTGTAGAAAAAATGGCGCTAACGTATATGTGAAGACACTATTTTAATGCAATTAAGCAATAACTGAAGAGAATACATATGCAGTATAGACAAAAAAAAAAAAAATACGACTGCATTTTCCAGTGTTTATTAAAATTTGTTCCAATTTTTATTATTACCAATCGAAAGAGCATAAAAAAATTGTCTCAGAATCCATGAGTTTTATTCCAATTCAGAAATTTGCAAAGCGATGAAAAATGATAATAAAATTACTGAAGCAATGCGCACCAAGAACTTTGAAATTTTTTTTTTAAATGAAGATTAGCGTCATATTCTATCTCACATAACGCTCGCTCGGTTGAAATTGTAATTCTTATTGTTTACTTATTTTAGTTCATTCATATTATATGTATTTATTTTATTTTTTACTATCTAAATCTGAATTAGTAAAAATGTTTATTAATTTGAATTAGTGACTCACTTATTGCTTCAGAATTAGTAAAATTTTACTAATTATTAGTAAATTTTACTAACAATTAGTCAAATTTAACTAATTCTAATGCAAAAAGTGAGTCACTAATTTAATTTAGTAAACATTTTTACTAATTCAGATTTAGAGAGTAAATTAATATTATATTAAATTTATTATTATCTTTAAATTTTATATTTTTAAGAAATTTTTTAATACTTTACATAAAAAAAAAAAATTGGACAGTGTAAAGTGTAAAGGCAGGTGGAAAAATTCCAATTTTGCTTAACATGTAACGAAAATTATCAGTTTTTCCTTGAAAACGCTATGATTATCAACTCCAATCATGCTCACTATATTTTTCTTGTAATCTACACGTAAAAATACCTAAAAATGTATAAATTTGAAGCCCTTTAGATAAAATTTTCTTCGTTTTTTGAAAAAAATTCTCATGATTTTTATAGAAAATTATTAGTTTTTCCTTGAAAACGCTATGATAATCAACTCCAATCGTTCTCGCTATAATTTTTTCTGTAATCTACACGTAAAAATACGTAAAAATGTATAAATTTGAATCCCTTAAGATAAAATTTTCTTCTTTTTTTATTCGAAAAATCCATGATTTTTTTCTAAAAATATGAGTTTTCCTTAAAAACAATATGATCATCAACTCCAATTTTCTGTAATCTATATACGCAAAAATACGTATGTATACCAAATATTAACTGTCTTGGTCAAATAGTGTGTGCGCTAGGAGGATTAAACGCTTTTTTTCAAAATTTTTTATTTTTCCTTGACAACGCTATATGTAAATCGATCCGAATCATCTTCGCTATATTTTTTCTGTAATTTTCACGTAAAAATACATAAGTGTACCAAATTTGAGATCTCTATGTGGAAAAATGTGGCCACCAGGAGGGGGGGGGGGGTACATAGTCATTTTTATGGATTTTTCGTAAAAATTCATGGTTTTTCCTTGACAACGCTATGATAATCAATTCCTATGAGATTCGTTATATTTTTTCTGTAATCTACACGTTAAAATACATATGTGTACCAAATTTCAGCCCTCTAGATAAATTCATGTGGAGATATTTGAAAAAATTTTAAAATCACGTTAACTTTTTAAAAAATGAATATTTTTTTATGAGATTTGAAATTGAAACACATTCTACATGTGAATTGCTGAAAAAAAAGTTGCAAAAAAAAAATTAAAATATGATTTTTTTTTTCTAATTCATATGTTTAATCTATGTGTAAATTTTAATTTTGAATCATATCTGTACATAAATGATTGAAAAACAAAAATTCTTGACCAAGTTACGTCACGAGAACGACAAATTAAACATTATTAATATATAATAGGAGATAACTTTTGTTTGTTTTTGTAAAGCAATGCGCACCGAAAAATTTGCCTTTTTAACAAAGTATAAATATTTTTATAAAGCAATGCGCACCGAAAATTTTTGCCTTTTTAACAAAATATAAAGATAAATGATGACTGTGCAAAATAGACAAAAGACAACTCACTGTTATATATTTAGCATGATGCAAAAAAGACAAGTGATAATTGCATATAAATAAAGAATAAGTGATAACTTTTAATTCGTAAAAAAAAATTTTTAAATATTAAAATTATTATATTTTCTAAAACTCAAATAAAAAGGTGTCAAAATGCAATATATGAATCAAGATAATCTTTTTTTCAAAAAATATACACTAATTTGTATAAAAGAGTTGCTTTTATTGAATATTCTTATATTCTTTTTATATTTAAATTTACTCGCGGATATTATATATTTTACATTCAATTATAGTAGCGTATAATGTAATTTTCAAATAGGTAGTATATACATATATATATAGCAATATATGTGTAAATTTCCGAGTGTACATAAAATGTTAAAATTGCCTTTTAACACATTATTAGTTTTGCGCGTTTATGAGTTCGAGACTTATTTTTTTTTCATCTATTAGCCATGAGAAAAAAAAATTATAAATATATATTTAATGATTTAAAAAAGTATATTAAGTTTTTTATATTACATAATGAAAAGTTATATTCCATATTTTTATTATAGTTCAATTTAGTTTTTCATTTATATTTTACATTCGTTTTTATTGGTTTCTATATATAGAATAAGAACGTTATTTTTAGATTAATTAAACTATTAATTATATAAATATATTCACTTATATATGTTTATTTATTTATTTAAGCAAATAATACTTAAAAATAAAAATATCTAATGAAAAAAAAAAATTTAAGCGATATATTTATATAGAAAAGAATTAACAGGTTACTTAGCGCAGAGATAATGATATTAAATTAGATGATGATGACTCTAAATAAAATGAAAGAGAATTTAATGAATTTATAACAAGGTTAGGATTAGAAGTCTAGATCAAACTAGATGAATCAAATTCTTTATATCCAACAAGGTTATATGTATCTAGAAGTAAATACATAAAATTCACAATGAAAGTTACAATGTCCAAAGAGTTATAAAAACGTGATATAAAAATTTTTATTTTTCAAAATTTCTCCCTTTATAGGTACTGTATTAAATAAATGTAAAATATCATCTGTTAGTCTCATATGTTACCCCCAGTAATTGTTGCAATATTTCAGAAAAATTCTATGGTAGTAATTTTTTTAAAAATTTTTATTATAATTGATAATTCAATAGTAAAATCCAATTGGAACATTACATTGTAAGAGTTAAAGTATACAGATAGCAGAAATAGTTACATCAGAATCTAATTACGAAATTTTTTTTTTTTGTTATTTATACACATGCGTGTTAGCGGAAATGAACTCATTTATATAGTGACATAAAGAATGGATTCAGCGATTATACTGTCTTCAGTTTTGAAGTGCACATCTCTTTTGTATACAGGAACATATTATATATACGTGACATATAAAGAAGAGAATGACTGCGGTGAGAATGTGATGACTGAGCTCTGATGTCTACTGAGAATAGAGTTACTGAATTGGCATAAAACTTTTGCAAATTGTTGTTCCATATATGATATTAATTGCCTTTAAATTTTAATTCATTAAAGAAAATTTTTTAAATAGTTTAAAAAGTACAAATGTTATTTTACATTTATAAGAATCAAAAATTCCAATTAACTTCTTGTTATAGTTGATTTAAATATTCTAGTAGAAAAAATATCAAATTTTTACCTTTATGGTAAAAAAAATTTGTATCGATTTCTATAAATTTTGATTTAAATAAGTTAAAAATTTTAGGAATTTGTTACCCTTTTATAGGACAACAATTTACCAAAATTTCAAATCAATTTTAATTTTTTCCAGTAATAGATCATTTGAGGAAGAATGTCCCATATAAAATGTCACTGAATTATAGAATTTTTCGAAATAAAATGTATGAAGAAACAAACTAGAAGAAATACATAAATTTCTCAAAGCAAGCTCATAAAGTACTATATACAAGGTTACGAGAGGTTTTATGTATTTTGTTTTTGGATCATGTGTGTATGTGCATTCACACATGTTGTAGGGGATATATATATGATTAGCCTATTCATTTAATAATAATATTTTGATTAACCCATTCATCGTCTAGAATTCATCTAATTAATTAAAATTATTATTTTTCATTGAAACTCAATTTTTATAGACCTTGAAGTAAACATATTTGTTACATAATAGTGTGGTTACTAATAGTTATTATTATTATTATTATTATTATTATTGTTAAATTTTTTTTTTATTCTTTAATTGTGTTATTTGTTCCACTTGTGATTATTATACAATTAATTTATTTGTTAATTAATTAAATAATTTTCATTTCTACCTGGTTGTTTCTGCAATTGTGGCCGCCCCTAAACTGACATTGTTTTTAACAATTAGTCGTTTAATATAAGTTATTATCTTCGTTTAAAATTGCTATCGTTCATTAACACAGAAAAAAGCACGATATGATATGTTAATAATTGATTAGGAGCATTCTGGTTTATTTCTAGATATACGATAGATTGTTTTATTGCTTTATCAAAAAAAAACAAAAAAAGTTCTATTTTATATACTCTACAGAATACATAAATAGTTTGCACTTCTCGTCTTCCGTTGTTACTAAAAATCCCATTTGTTTAAAATTTTTTTTTTCTTAAATTTTATCTGATATTTAGCCAAAATTAAATATGGAATTATTAAGTAATTTTATTAATTATTTATTTTACTGAAAAAAACAAATTTAATTAAGACGCTAATTAAATCATTTATTAATTCGATAACTTGAAATTAATTTAATAATGATTGACAGAAACTTGAAAATCTTAAAATGATTTTACAGATATTGCGCGCAAAAAAATTCCGACAGGCCTTGCTAACTCATCAAAAATATTATATTAAAAGCTGAGTTGTTTTGAATAATAACACGTCCATGATTTATGTAATTTAAGAAAAAATTTTTAAAAATTAGCGCACAAATAAATTGAATATGATAATTTTAAAGATTTTTTTTTATACACCCAATAATTGAACATAATATGAAAAAATTATTTTTGTTTCGTGTTTTTTTTAAGAAAACAAAGAAAATTTAATAATAATTAAAAATAGTAATTAGTTTAATTAATAACTTTTAATAAAATAATTTATTAAATTTTTTTTATTTATTTTATCCATCGTTTATTAATTTAGTAATTTATTATTCAAATTTGCATAATTTATACTTTTTTCTTTAAATCCAGTTCAAAAAGAGTTAAAGGTAATCGGCTATTTTTTTTAAACATAAAATCGTAGACAGAAAAAAGACAGTGAGCGCATTTTTTTTTATATATGTGTGTGCAAGAAACACGTTTTGCATATTAAAATGTACGCGACTTGAAGGTAAACATTTGTTTCACAAAGTTCGTTCCCATAGGTCAAGTTTTTTTTTTTTTTTTTTTTTTATTTATTGATTTATATATCAGCGAGATTAAGACCTTTAAATATATACATTATATCTTTAACCCATATATTGAAGCTAATACAAAAAAAAGTAACACACGTTACCATAATTGCAATTATGTTACTATATATATATAATCGATTTAATTTTAATTCAATTAATTTCATTCGCCTCACATTTTTTTATTTTTCTAATAAAAAATATTTAAAAAATTTAAAAAATTTCAATTTTTCTACATAATTTTCTCAAACAATTATTTATATAAAAAAAACAGGCATGAGGCGACAGAAATTAGACAGACAGACAGATAGACATATTGATTGCAATATACTTAAATCATTTTTTAAACGAGAATTTATCGAAGATTTCTCTGAACAATGTAATGAAGAAACTTTCATTTTTCCTCATAATTTTACTTTCGTTTCTTTAACATTATTTAACATGATTTTAATGAAAAACTTCCATTAGGTTACAAAATTAAGTTTTTTTTAAATTTTCAAAATTAAAAAAAAAATTCCCAAAAAAATTTTTATAAAATTGAAAAATTGAATTTTAAAAACAAAATGGAAAAAAATAAATTATGTTAATAATTATTATATCTATGTAGATATATATATATTTTTTGCGACAAAATAACAAAATTGATAAAATTATGAAATAAAATTATTATTATCATGTAAAAAATGTTAAAATAATAAGATTGAATAATAATTGTGTTTGTTATCTATTTATATGTGTATTAATCGAATATCAATAATAATTGTTTATCAGACGGCTAAAGGTTGTGACAATTAATAAAAACAGTTTAAATATAAAAAAGATAAATATACGCGATTCGCGTTTTCAGTGGAAAATCACAATAATTTTTGTTATAGCTTTCATATGCGAATTTTAATTTAATTTATGAACTCCAATTTAATAGATTTAAAAGACAACCCACCTAAAAAAAAAAACTGGAATAATTTTATAAGCAATAAAAAAAATTTTTTTTCTTTTTTAATGAAAAAATTTGCCTTTTTTTCCGGTCTGCATTCTCACAAGTTGATTAGCATAGAGACTATAATAATATGCGGGCTCAAAGATTTGCATTCGCGAATTTATTTATAACGAAATTCGCAAAAAATAAATAAATTATTATTTATATGAATGATAGGTGAATTTGATATAAAAACAGGTCTCGTGCCATTGACATTGAAAATCGAAACTCAAGCAAGGCATATTATAAGATTATATTCCTTCATGCCCAGTGAATCAGAATATTAGAAGAGTTTGCGGTTTAAATGGCGAAAGTGCTTGTTATCATTAGCATACATAATAATATTCCATATATACCATTTATACTTTTACAATTATATTAGCCTTTTAAAATCCTATTGTTACATATACATATATATATTTTTTGTTATCAATAACATATATTTTATTTATATAAAAATTTATACTTTGTTTTACTAATATTTTCTATTTATTTTCTTCGCATGTGTTATATATTTATTTTCACTTTCATTATTTTTATGCATGAAAAAAAAATTTTTATAATAAACTATTTATATTATATATTAGAAATTAATTATTTAATAATAATTAATATAAAAATAAATTTTCTAAATATTTATAATTTTTTTAAATATTTATAATAATACTCAATAATTATTTGAGCTTGTAAATTTTAATAAATATAATATCTATTTAGTGGAAAAGTTTTCGCAAGTCCTGACCCTTAGAAAATGTATATTACGAACTTCTTATTTTTTTTGCCAGACATTTTAAAGTATATAAAGAGGCTTAATAATCCGTGACGCAAAAGAAGAAGAAAAAAAAAGAAAAAATTACATGAAAAAAAATTAAAGTTGTAAAAAAAAGTTTTCGCAGTGCGGGTTAATAAGTTTCGATTCATGACATATTGTTCTTTTTTTTCTATATATATATACATATATACTTGCTTTAATGTTCTCTATAAATAGTAACTGCTTTACGTGCAAAATCATCTTATAAGACCTCGAGAGAGAACTTGCTCATTACATACCTGTAAGTTTTAGCGCATTAAAGAAAGAAAAAGAAATAAAAAAAAAAATTTAGAAAAAAAAGTTTTCGTGAGTTATATATTGTATCAACAAGTTTTTACATTCATCCAGAAAAAAATAAGACAGAAATCATTGTTTTTTAAGAGACAAAAAATTAAAAAAAAAATATTTTTACAAAAATAAATTTTTTTTAATATTCTTAATTTTTAGAAGATAAATAAAAAGTTAACAGATTTGTTACAAAAAAAGGAAAAAACATTTACGATTCAAACAATAATTTTCGTAGAAAAGAAATTATATTTCCAAAATTTTGTATATAAAAAAAATCTAAATTTCTAAATTATAAATCGAATATTAATAATACTGTCTTTTTTTCGGAGACACCTTATATGTAGTCGGTAAAACGTGCCTATACATAAATTTATATATATATATATATATATATATATAAATAAAAGTCGTGCATCTGTAACTTTATAATGTCTATAGATTTTAACGATATACGTAGTTTCGTACGTAATGCGCCACTTTATGATAAAAGCGCCTCTATAAGTTATTTTGTGAAACCATTTCTTTTCTCTCCTTCTTTCTTGCAACCCTCTCTCACTCTCTCTCTGTCTCTCTTTTTCCCTCCCTCACTAGATACACATTTCTCTCTTCAGTAATCCCCACTTTTCCTCCAATAGCGTATTATTCATTTACAGCCCTCGCAAAATATTTCAAAATATTATTTAAAAACAAAAAAAGGTTTGTTTTATATTAATGATGAATAATAAATAACATAAAAAATAATAGCAAAAAGAAAAACGGTGGGAAAACACCCCTTAAAAAGGTTGTTTTATATTAATGATGAATAATAAATAACAATAAAATCCTCGACTACAATATAACAGAAACAATAGCAAAAATAGTGCAAAATTTCTAAAATTTTGTTCAATTTATTAAAAAATGTTTTTTATTAATTTTTATATTTAATTATTATACCATTTTTTTAATTGTAACTATTTTATTGTTATTACTGTTACTGTCACTATAGTTTGTGTCACTGTTACTATTGTTTCTGCTATTATTGTTACTGTAGTTACTGTTTCTGCTATTATTGTTACTGTAGTTACTGTTTCTGCTATTATTGTTACTGTAGTTACTGTTACTGTAGTTACTGTTACTGTAGTTACTGTTACTGTAGTTACTGTTACTGTTATTGTAGTTACTGTTATTGTAGTTACTATTACTGAAGTTTCTGTTACTTTTAGTTATCTTTAGTTACTGTTACTTTTAGTTACTGTTAATATTTTGTTACTACTGTTATTGTATTATTACTGTTATTGTTATTTTCTTTGCTTTTGTTGTTTTTCATTATTCATCATTAATATTAAACACCTTTTTTTTTTGATAAAAATATGTTCGGACCAAAGTGATCTCAATTAGTGTTTTTCGTTTATATTATTTATTATTCATCATTAATATAAAAAACACCTTTTTTTCTTCAAAAACCGCTTTACTTTTTCTTATATCCTCTTTCGTATCCATTAGTCAACTGAAACAAAAAGAACATAATGTATAAGTTAAAAATAATATCGCTTATAATTTCATTTAAAGTTTATACATATTTTTTTTCTATTGTTATCGTTACTTTTGTTATAGTTGTTATTGTTATTTCTTTTTGTCACTGCTACAAAAATGTAGATGAAAAAAAACTTTTTCTGTTAAAAAAGCAAACTTTGACCCTTAATTTTGTAAAATACCCGGAATTTCAGTTTTCTGCTTACGTCCCTGATTCTTCGTGAGCTGCTGCTGCTGCTTTTCCCTCTGTCTTTCAACCCCCAAACTAGCCGCCCTCTGACACACACGGGGAACCAGTCGCTTTCACCAAGCAAAGGACACTCACCACCGCGTTCAGTATATAAGGTCCTCCCTCCTCTTTCTCTTGTCTCTCCACGTTTCCCGCAAAAAAAAATAAAATAAAATCCCTTCCCCCTAAAAAAAAGAAAGAGAACACAAAATATAATTAAGAAATTTTTAATTTTGATTTACTGTATATAATTTTTTTCATTTTATTTTGCCATTTCCTCTCGGATGTGTGTTATTATATTGGTCATGTGAAATTCAGTTATCGAGTAATGGCGTGCAAATCGAAAACAATCATCATTCCATTGACGACACAGACATCGATAATATCAAGTACTCACATCACAACATCAGAAGAAAGTTGCTGCACAAAAATCAACGAGATTCTTCTTCTTCATTTGGAAAAATGAAAATTCATCATTCATCATTATTATCATCATGACAAAGGTATGATTTGAAATAATTTTTTTTTTATTTTCCCTATGAAAAAATTTCTTGGTAATATTTTTTTTTAATTTGTAGCATTAGATTTTTTTTTTTTATATAGAAAACCACCCACACGCGATTCGTGTGGTGGCACCATCTTCTCTTGATGCGCAAGACTTATACATTTTCTATCGAGAAAAAAAAAATTATTAATACATATATTTTTAGTTAATTTTCAATGGGTTTGTATAATGAGGGGAATAACATTTTTCTGCAAAATTGAATTAAATTTTTTATTTTTAAGTTCATTTCTTTTTTGTTGATTAAATTAGAGGTGATTTTCACATTTATTTTAAGATTTAAGATTTTTTCTTGCATTTTTTTTTGCTTTAAAATTAACTTTTATTTTAGAAACTTACAATTTTTTTGTGATTGAATTTTAATAAGTTTTTTATCCTTTTTTCCTCTATGGTGATTTTTTTTTGCAAATTTTCAAAATCAAACATTTAGAATTATTTTTTTTTAAAATATATATATTTTTTTAAGGGACATTTTTTTCGTAATTTTAAATTGTTTTTTAACAAATTTTCGAAATTTTTTTACATTACGATAACTTTTGCAAAAAATTTTTTCTTTTTTTCTCGCAGTAACAATAATTTTTTTTTGAAAAATAACATTTGGTCTGTTTTTCATTGCTTTTCCTGTATATATATATATATGTATATCTATAATATATACCTAAATGGCGTCCTTGTCATTGACGCACACGATCAACTTTGTGTTTCGCATGAATGAGCAATGGCGACATTTTTCGCGGACAATATATAAGTTTTCGATAAAACGTACGTATATATATATACAATACAGTAAGAGAGCGCTACATTCGTTTTCATTGATTTTATAATTTTTTTTCCATTTCATGTTTTTTTCAAAAAAAAGAAAAATTTGACCAATGTTTTTTTCAAGTTATATTTATAAAAAAAAAATTCTAGGAAAAAAATTAAATGCCTTTTTTTTGCAATGGAATTCATGTCTAGGAATCGTAAAAAAAATTAATTTCGAAAATTGAAAAACTACCAAGAACCATCTTGGATTGCGTTATAAAAGTTCCCGTGAACTCTGCCCTTCTCGTTCGTTCATTCGCGTCTATTGATCATCATAGGGGAAAATTGTTGGCCGTTAATGAAGGGCAAAAATAAATTTTTTTTTTTTAGTGATTATATAAAGAAAAAATTGTGAGTTTAATGTAAGTGAATAAATGTAAAAATCCTCTCTTTTTTTTTGTTGTGTAAAAGTTAAAAATAAGGGCGTCGACATAAGCGCCGTTGGGGTTGGTCAGTTTTCTTACTCTCCGATTCACATTCCCATATTTTGAATGAGAGACTCGCCACGTTTGGGAATTTTCCCCTCTATTTTACATTCCAACTTTTAGAGTGTTGATTTTAGTTGTTTTTTAGTTTGAAAAAAAAATTTCATTTTTTGTTGACATTTTATAACATTTAATTTGTTATAATTATTAATTAAAAATATTTTTTTAATTTTTTATAATTGCAATATTTTTCTTTTGAACTTTTTTATCTAGAGTTTTTAATAAATAAATTTAGAAATAATTCAACTTTTCTCTCTTCAGCAATCCCCTCTTTTCCTCTAATAACATATTAGTCATTTACAGCTCTCGCAAAATATTTTAAAATATTATTAAAAAAAAGAAAAAAGGTTTGTTTTATATTAATGATGAATAATAAATAATATAAAAAACAATGACAATAATAACATCGACTACAATATAGCAAAAACAATAGCAACAATACTGCAGAATTTCTAGAAATTTTATATCACTTAATTATAAAATTTTTTATCCACATTTTTAATAATTTTTTGGAAATATTTATATAAATTCTTAAATATTTAATTTCTTAACCGTTTTTATTCGTAAATCTAACACAAAAAATTGATTTAAAAAATTTTTTAAATAAAAAAAAATTCAGTTTTCTCGCGATAAAAAAAATAATGATTAAATTCCATATATATTTTTAATTATTAAAAAATAGTGAATAAAGAATAACCCCTTGTTAATGATAATGATTCGTAAAATTTTCCCACTCTTTGTGATATAAAATAAATATTACATTATTTATGATAAATTATAATGTGCATTATATATTAGTATAATATATATTTTATATTTTGGTTATAACATATATTTTATATTATAGTTATAATATTTACTTTATATTATATTTAGATAATAGAACCCCCCCCCCCCTTCTTCCCTTATAAATCGTATGTTAGTTATAATATATTAACTATATATATAGATAATTAGAAAAAAAAAATGATACGACTGGTGACGCGCAAAGAAGAGTGACTCATTCGATTTGAAGTGACATTTTCGGAGTACTATTTACCGTATTTTATAACTAGGGCGGTGCGGATAAATCGATATGTGTTACTTTCATTCATGGCTGCCTCCCTCACGCTGGCACGTTGCCGCTACTGTAGCGACCACCTACCACCTCCACCATATTTACTATCGTCACCACCATCTCAATATATCACGCAGTCATCTTCCAATCCTCCGCATAGATTCCCACTACTCTATATATATATATATATGCAGGGCAAACTCCCACGAAATTTGACCCCCCTCCCCTTCCCTTTTTTTACCCATCTCTCCCCTAAAAATAACAGGATCATAAATTTAAGAAAAAAAATTTTTCGCCTAATTTTTATATCTAGAAAAAAGTATTCTTGCATTAAGAGGAAAATTACTATTTTTTCTTATATTTAGGGTATTTTAGTTTTCATCTTAAAATAAGAGTTTTCGTTTAGTAGTGAAAGGATTTTTTAGTATATGAGGTTGAGGTTATGTTTCCTTCGCGCTGTACACTGAAAATAATTCTAAAATTAAGAATGTGTACTTGGAACTTATTTTAGAATATTTTATACTTAAATTCAATATGTAATATTTTAATTTTAGGAATACATATATTCTTTTTAGAATATACTTCTTAATTGAAAGTATTTTTATGCAATTTTATTATTAAATTTAATATACATAATTCTTGTTATTTACTATAAACACAAAGACGGTATTTTTAAATTAGAAGTTATATACTTAAATTTAGTATAAATTATCTCAAATTTAAAAGATTCATTCATAAAAATTAGATTGATATACTCTTAAAATAATGCTTTATTTCAATATTAAAAACTATATGATTTTTAAATTAAAAGTTTTTCTAAAAAGTCTATAGAATACTTTTAAATTTAAAAGATATTCTTAAATTTAGATATCCTTAAACTTTAGAAGCTATATTCTTTAATTGAGAATATTTTAATATTTTAAGAGTATGTAGTTTATCATGATTTTAAGAAAAGTTTCATTAAAATATTCTGGTTAAAACCTGCGGCAAGGCTATATTTTACAATACTATAATTTTTTTTCTAAAGAATATTTTCTCAATTTAAGAATAATATTTTAAATTCAAGAATATTCTTATTGTAAGAGTATAGAACCTATTTAATTTTAGAAAAACTGACAAAAAATATTCTAAAATAAGTTGCAAAAAATGTATATAACTTTAAAAATTTAAGAATATCTTAGTTTTTTTTAAACGTATGTTTATTGTAACTGAAATATATGTACTAAATTTTAGGTGTAAATTGAACAAAAATATTCTAAAATTGATGCCAAAGGATATACATATTTTCTTAATTTTAAAATAATTTTTGCATGTATTACATATTAATTTCCTCTTGAATGAAGAGGAGACTTTTTAGTATTATATTATATTATATTATATTATAAACAGTGTATAATATATATATATATATATATATATATATATATATATATATGAACCTCTAGTGGATCGTTAGTAGATACTTCCGTACATAGTACGACTGCGTCTACCACTACTACTGCGCGACTACTATCGCATCGGCTTGCTGAAAATAACCGCTACCCACTACCAGTACTAACTACATATATATATAGGGAAGAGTACCAAAGTATATAGCGTCAGAACCTCTGCCTTTTCACATCACACACAGCCTCACCACCACCCCCCCAGTAACGTCTTTTTTTTTATCCAAGAGCCCCCTTTCATTAATAAGAAAAAAAAGAAAGGAAACGAAGAGAAGCTTTTATGTATAAAAGGAATTTTTATGCTCTTCTTGGAAATTGAAAATATCATTTCACAGAAAAAAAAAATTCCATTGACGATATATTTTATCAGAATTTTATTTATCATTTTTGCTAACAACTATATATATATATATATATAAAACAAGTGTCGTTTATTTATAGTATATATGCAAAAAAAAATTCTACTTTCCCACGAAGAACTAATTAAAAAATTACAATATTCTTCCTTTTAATTATAAATACATTATTATCACTTTATACCGGAAGGCTAAAATGATACGAAAAAAAAGCGATTTTTATATATTGCGTTTTATCAATGTTGGAGATAATTTAAAAGTATCAAATTGATATAAAAATCCATTTAAAATTTTAAAAAAAAATTTCGTATTATTATTATTATTAGGTATAATAATTTTTTTTTATTGTTTTGATTATTATTATTATTATTATTATTATTTTTGTTGTTATTATTATTATTTTCCGTTATTCGTAGATAACAATACAAACTGCGTTGAATTTATTTTTAATGAAGCCGCCACTGGTCTTAAAAAACCCCATCGTCAGCGTCACGTCATTTCCCCACCCCCTGATGGCATATACTATGTAGATATATATACATCATCCCTCTCGGCAACAGTTCCTCCTTCCTTTCGTATATATACAGTTTTTCGACATCTATTTTTAGAATAGTAGAATAAGCGTTTCGTGTAACGTCTTTCATTGTCATTCAAAGCGGCATTGAAAGCCATATTTCTTAACTAAAAAAAAAATGAAAAAAACAAAATTTAGAAAACATCAAATCTCAATTTTTTTAATGATGAAAGACCATAAATTAATGATTTTTGATGCTACAAGTTTTTTGTTATTTTCC